GTGACAGTCACTGGTGGGACTGACTGGGATTCAGCTCAGCCTGGGGTTGAATATCAGCCTCGTCCCCTGGAGGTCTGGCTTCTCTGAGCCTCCATGCTGTCACTGGATCTGAGGCAAGGACAGCGCCTGCCTGAAGGGTGGTTGTGAGGCGGAAGTAGGCATGTTGTGTGACGCCTGAAAGTCCACATCCACGGAAGTCCAAGTGGATGGCTGTTGCACAGGCACCCTATTTCCGTGTACACGTGCATTTTCCTTGTTGAGGGAGGGGACTCTGTGACCTGGCAGATGCGGGGTGGGAGTGAGGCGCCGTGGCCAGGTCGCATGCCGTGGGCCAGTGGGGAGGTGGCATGGAGCATCACTGATCACACCGTGCCATGCTGCCCTTTCCAGAACGGCGGCATCTACCTGCTGGCCAACCAGAAGGGCTGTGACGGGGACCGTCTGTACTATGATGGCTGTGCCACCATCGTGATGAACGGCAGCGTCTTCGCCCAGGGCTCCCAGTTCTCCCTGGATGACGTGGTAATGCGTGAGTGGGCGGGATTCCGGGGAGCGGCGTGTCGCCCCGTCCCAGTCGGTCCTCATGTCCTAGGCTGACGTCTTCACTCTACCCTGTGATTGGGTGTCCTGCCCTCTGAGTCCTGGGGGTGGGGGTGGGGACCCCAAGCCTCCGCCTCCTTGTTCTGTCCCCAGCTGGGTGTGGGACAGACCCGGTTAGTCAGGGAGCTGTGAATTGCAGTGCAGGAGAGATGCCGTCACCATCCGGGGACACGTGGGATATGCGAGGGACAGGGGAACAAGGCAGAGACCAGGCCCAGGACCACAGTCTGCAGAATCCTTCCTGGCAGCCCAGGTGTCCCGCTTAGGGACCGGGGTTTATGACCTACTGGGGCCACAGGTTCCTTTGAGAAGCTGCTGAAAGCTGTGCATGCTTGGCTTCTAAAGATGTTGTTGGTGCTGTCAAGTCAATTCCGACTCACAGTGACCCCATGTGACAGAGCAGAACTGCCCCATAGGGTTTCCTAGGCTGCAGTCTTTACAGAAACAGACTGCCTGGTCTGTCTCCCACAGAGCAGCTGGGTGGGTTTGAACTGCTAACCTTTGGGTTAGCAGCTGAGCACTTAATCGTTGCGCCACCAAGGCTCCTTCTTCTACAGATGTGTATTATGTTAGTATGTATCTTTTAAAGATATGTGTTAACATGTCTAGTTATCAACGTATCCAGTTGCTATGAGTTGACTCGGACTCCTGGCGACCTTATATGTGTCAGAGTAGAGCTATGCTTCACAGGGTTTGCAGTGGCTGATTTTTCGGGAGTAGATCACCAGGCCTTTCTTCCAAGGCACCTCTGGGTGGACTTGAACCTCCAATCTTTTCAGTTACCAGTCAAGCGTGTGCACCGTTTGCATCACCCAGGGACTCCACCTGTTAACACAGGCGCAGATTTTTCCCATGTAATTCATTTCATTCCATTGGACGTTAGTTTTCCTCCCAGGGAACAGGTGGCAGGTGAAAAAGTCCTTGTGGAGAACGGCATTGCTCACACTTAGACGCTGTTGTTGTTGGTGCCACGGAGTCCATCCGACTCAGAGCGACCCCATGTGACAGAGTAGAACGGTCCCCCAGGGTTCCCAAGGCTGTGATCTTCATGAAGCAGATCGCCAGGTCTTTTCTCCTGTGGAGCTGCTGGCGGGCTTTAATCTCCAACCTTTCGGTTAGCAACCGAGCTCTTAACCCTTGTGCCATCAGGGCTCTTATTTATGCTTTTCACAAGTGAAAACAAAAAAGGTATTATTGCCAAGAAGGGAAATACATTCCTAGTGTGCAAATACAGCCAGAAGTATCTTTTCTTCCTGCCTAAAAACCGATATGAGTGAGAAGCTGCCTGTTGGGCTTGGACAAGCTGCAGGACTCACGGGGGTGTCTCTCACGGCCTCGCGCCTCTCGGCTTTGGGTCCAGGGACTTTCCTGTTTGTTTTGTTGGGGGCGTGTACAGACAACGCTAATTCACAGAGGCATGAGGTAACAAAGGAG